TCAAGTGGGTTTCTGCCCAAGGGTGAGTCCCTCATCTTCCCATAGGGACTAAACATGGTGGTGGTGGTAGAGAGGGTCACTTACATGGCTCTGGTTCCCAGGTGCTCTCTGGTGACTGAGGATGTCGTGGGCAGCGCTGAGCATCACCACGTAAGAGAAGTTGTTGCAGAGGCCCAGGAGCCTGGAGTGAGCAGGACAGAGCCCCCCACCCCCCAGTTTTATCGAGATATAACTGACATAGAAGAATAGACATATAATATAATTACATAAAATCTATCCACAGTCCTAGCACCAAACCTCCCCCTTTCCTGTGCCTTCTTTTTTCTCTATCGTCAGACCCCATCCCCATTTAGTGAGAAGGTTAGAAATACAGGCTTTGGGACAACAAACTTAGGTTCATATCTAATCTCTGAGACCTCTCCCAGGAAGAGAAGGAAGTTATCCTTGATGACTCTCTCCTCCAAGCTCCCACCATGATTCAGTTCCCGGGGCATTTCTCATCCACTGATCCACTGTGGTATGGTAGAAAGATACTGGGGGCTTGAAATCCAAAGGACTATGTTCAGGTCCCAAGTCCGCCACTTCCTACTTGAGTGGCCTCAGTCTACTCATGAGTAAAATGAGGATTCAAACTTCTCTCCTGACTATCTCTCAGAGCGCTGTAGAGATCAAAACAAGATAATACCCTTTGTGATCCATGAAGCATCTGGTTCACTTATTCTCATCTCCCAGAGCTGCCATCAGTGATGGGAAGGGAACAGGACCCAGCCCCAGGATATCATGTGTCCTTTTCACAAGCCTCTGAAGTGGTACTGCTGCTCTTCCCATTTTACTGCTGAGAAACTGAGGCTCAGAGAGAGAGCCTCACTTCCAACCCAATCTGTTACCCAAGTCCTTGATGTTTAGGTTAGTGCTAGAAGTATTTCCCAAAGCTCAGTATTCGAATTATTTTAGGAGGTAGATGGATGACTTTTAAAAGGTAGTGATGCATTTATTTAAACGTGCATTAGGAAAATACTGGCTTTCCGTCCAGAGTAGTGATTTACAGTTTTCTTTTAAAAAGTACATGTATTTACAAATTTAAAGGCTGAGTTGGATCTCCAAAATATACAAGCAGCTCATACAGCTCAATATCAAAAAAACAAACAACCCAGTCAAAAAATGGGCAGAAGACCTAAATAGACATTTCTCCAAAGAAGACATACAGATGGCCCAAACACATGAAATGATGCTCAACATCACTAATTATTAGAGAAATGCAAATCAAAACTACAGTGAGGTATAACCTCACACCGGTCAGAATGGCCATCATCAAAAAATCTACAAACAGTAAATGCTGGAGAGGGTGTGGAGAAAAGGGAACCCTCATACCCTGTTGGTGGGAATGTAAATTGATACAGCCACTATGTAAAACAGTATGGAGGTTCCTTAAAAAACTAAAAATGGAACTACCATATGACCCAGCAATCCCACTCCTGGGCATATACCCAGAAAAGACCATAATTCAAAAAAACACATGCACCCCAATATTCATAGCAGCACTATTTACAATAGCCAGGACATGGAAGCTACCTAAAATCAATGGAGGAATGGATAAAGAAAAGGTGGTACATAATTACAATGGAATATTACTCAGCCATAAAAAGGAATGAAATTGGGTCATCTGTAGAGATGTGGATAGACCTAGAAAGTGTCATACAGAGTGAAGTTAAGACAGAAAGAGAAAAGCAAGTATCATATAATAACGCATGTATATGGGATCTAGAAAAATGGTATAGGTGATCTTATTTGCAAAGCAGAAATGGAGACATAGACGTAGAGAACAAATGTATGGATACCAAGGGGGGAAAGGGGTGAGGAGGCAGGAACTGGGAGACTGGGATTGACACATATACATTATTGATACTATGTATAAATAGACAACAGATGGGAACATACTGTATAGCACAGGGAACTCTACCTAATGCACTGTGGTAACCTAAATGGGAGGGAAGTCCGAAAGGGAGGGGATACCTGTATGTGTGTGGCTGATCCATTTTGTTGTGCAGTGGAGGCTAACACCACATAGTAAAGCAACCATACTCCAATAAAAATTAATAAAATAAAATAAAATCCTCACAACATGGCAAGACGCCTGCTATTATCCCATTTTACAGAAGAGGAAACGAAAATTCAGAGAAACTAAAATCAAGAAGCTAACCAATGACATTGAGATTTGTCTAGAAATTAAATGATTTGTTACTGATATTCATCTCAGAAACGGTCACACAGAAAATTTCAGAGACACAAATTCTGAATTTGAATAGATATTATTTTCATGAAAAAATAAAATAAAGGCTGAGTTGGTTGGAGTAAAAACATGAAGAAAATATCCCTACAGGTCATATGAGAAGCTGGCCAAAAGGTGAAGGTGATAAAGGGAATGAGCGAAATTTGGGAAATTTACACACGGCCTCAGGGCAAACCAAGCGGTTCAATAAATATT